GTGAGGGGTGGGCGGGATTGGGACGGCACCAAGTTTGCGGGCGGTTCCGAGCGCAACTTCCTCGAGTGCGTTTGCTGACACTGCAGCTCTCGCTTCGGCACGCCCCGCTGCCACAAGTAGCGGCGGCGGCGGCCCGAGTCAACCAGCGTGCTTATTATAATCCGTTCGCAAGCATCCGGGCCAGGGTTCTCCCTCGACCGGGACGGGCTCAGGGGTACCTCACAGTAAATTCAAGCGCACAACAATTTTTCTGTTTTTTTTTTCTTTTCTGAACTGTTATTGATTTTTTCCTCTGATTTTTCCGTTGATTGTTTAATCTCTGTATGATTAAAAAATGTATTGATCTTTTGATAATTTTTCCTAGAGTTTTTTTGATGATTTTTTCCTGGCTGTCTTCGTACAGTGATTCATTTGAGTGGCGTACCCCTCGGCTCTCCCTCGGCCGAGCCGGCCAGTCTTTCCGTGATACTCACGTGCGGCGCGCCGAAGTGGTGCTCCTCCAGGCCGCCGCGGCGCGTCTTCCACCACGTGACCACGGCCTGCGGCCGGCTGCCCAGCGTCAGGCACTCGAAGCGCGCCTCCTCGTCCGCGGGCAGCTGCAGCGGCCGCGGGTGCAGCCGCACGGACAGCGGCTTCACTGCAACGGCACCAGGTGCGAGGTTAGTGAGGAGGTCAGGCTTTCAGAATACTACGAGTGTAAAGGCAGTGTTAATCCATTAACAAACCACACACTTGATTGGCTGTGTAGCTAACCAATAGCATGATGAGGGATAACCACTTATTAAGCTCCGTATCCAAAATTAACTGTTTAGCTACATGGCTAAATATCTAGATAGCTAAATTATTTAGTGACATACAGCTACCCTTTTCAGCGACATAGCTGAATGATTTAGTAAAAAAATAAGTTTTTATCTACATAGCTAAACAATTATCAAGTTATCCCCCGTTTAGCTACTGTTTGGCTCTACAGCTAACATTATTTTTTTCGTGCAGATAAAACGGCGTGAGGTTGAAGCCAGCTGCTGGATTCTTACGTCTCAGGTCGAGGCGCACGTCGTGGTGCTTGGGGTCGACGAGGCGCGTGTTGGACGCCTGGCAGCGGTACGTCGTGTTGAGGTGCTCCCGGGTCACCCGGGACACGTCCAGCCGGTTGACGATCACCTTTGGCGTGCCGTCGTCCACGGCCCCGTCCAGCAGGCGGCCGTTGGCGAACCAGGAGACGGTGGGCTCGGGTCGGCCTGCGATCAGAAGGGAAGCAGCGTTGTTGGGCTGAGCTGGTACACCACCAGGGCCACCTCCGGGCCCTGGCAAACTACCAAAGCAGGCTGGCTAGAAATGTAAAGTGAGGACAATTAGCCTCGGAATCACACGAGCCCGTGACAACTGTGTGACTCGTTTTTTCCCCTGTTGTTTTTCCTACCATTCCCCAACAGACAAGTGTATTTTCGTTCTGTTTCAGCGTGATTCACAGAAGAGACGCGGTGCGCGGATATGGGCGAGGCAGTGTGTGTTCATTTCACAAACAAGCTTAAACCCAACATACACTCTGAAGATAATTTTGTCCGGGTAAAGGCAACGTTTCGCACGGTAAAAAGTTCTTGGCAAGGTTATTTCCTAAATTTCAAGGGCGGTGGATAAATTCAATATCGACCATTGGAATTTTTGGTCTGAAATGCATGGGTTTTCTTTGGATTACCAGACGAAAATTCCAAGGCTTCCCCTAGGAAGCAGAGGGTTTCAAGGCAGATTTTGTGTTTTCAGGGGTCGATATTGAAATTATCTACGCATCCCTGAAACTCAGGAAATATAATTGACATCGAAGAAAAACTCTTCACACATCCGACCGTATGCAATTTCCTTCCTAAATCTGGGTTGAAACATTTGAAAGAAAATTGCATCAGGTCTTCTGGGTGCACGAAAACGTTGTCTTTTCCGGCAAAAGAATTGTCCCTTTACGGGTAGAGTGTAGTAGGTAGTCTTAAAGCGATAAGTTGGGTGACCAACTTTCGTCCAGTTCTCATGTCGCAGTAAAAGAACGGATGGGGGAGGGGGGAGGGGTCCCAATCGCTCCACGGGGAGACGGGCGGACCACGCCACGCGTCACGAAGCACCGAAAGAAGAGGAAGTCGCTCACGCTCTTTTTTCTGGTCTCTGGCCATTTTCTTATAGCGCGCTAAAAGCACGCACCGTGAAGTGGCTCGATGTGCCGCGGGGGGCAGAGCCGGGCAGAGCCGCGCGTCACGGTAACGACTAGGTGCAGAAGGGCTCGGGGGCGACACGGCAGCCCTAGGCAAGTACAGCCACTGAACTCTCGTCCCGTTCTAACCCCACCCGCTCTGTTCATGCAGACCAACCGGTTCAACTCGGCTGTGTCCCCCTGTAGTCTAGATAGCAGCAGGCCGAGCGTGCGAAAGACAAGCCACATGTGGCCCTGCTCCCGCCCCTGTCGCCAAGCAGGTCCTCTGTAGTCGAATCTTAATCCGGCGATTCCTAGAGGGGCTGGACCCGGCACCGGCAGCGCCCAGCTGACCTGGGCAACTTTATAAACGGAGGGACATTGCAATTTTCGTCAACATTTTCCCCTCGCCCCACTTGACTCCCCCCTCCACGGCGCTTCAACGCCCCCAGTCCCGACCCTCTCTGACCACCGGGCCATTGCTTCGGATCGGATCGGCCGCGAGAGCTAACAAGGTTGTTTGATTGTGCAGAGTTTGTCGGGAGAACTGAGTTGGTGTTGGGCTAAGGCGTGACCACTTGTTGAAACTTTTCACACGTTTACGCAGAGATGAGATTTCCGTGTAATCGATACCAGCGACAGGAGGGGCGCACCGAGATGCCGAGAGTTGTAACAAGATAGGGATTAAGTAAGTGTGTACGCCCAAGGGGAAGGGAGATATAATGCACAATAAGGGGGGGGGGAGGAGACAGGCGGGAGACAGTCGGAAAAGACAAGGGAGACAAAGCGAGGGAAGCAGAATGAGCGACGCACGGCCGTGCCGGGGGAACAGCGGCGCAGCGGCGCTCATTGTGTCACCTTTTGGGCGCGCGCAGCGACCCCCCCCGCCTGCCGTGTCCAAAGAACAAAAGAGGGGAGGGAGAGGACTCGACTTAATATGCAAGACATTTGCGCAACCCCTTTCTCGTTAACCTTTGCTTACCGCTGCTCTGCCTTAAGGGTCATAATCGGATCACCTTACAGGCGAGCCCCACGGCCGGGGTGTGCCTGCTGGGCTCACGACGCTGCTGCTGCTGCTGTGCCCCCCCCCCCCCCCCTCTTCCGGAGCTGGAGCCCCGGTGCGCCTTTCTGCACTAATGGCGCACATCGCATGGACAATAATACCCGCTGCTTATTCGCACGAGAGGGCTCTGGCCTTTAGCTGGCGCAGACTGACACTGATTGGCGTCCCGAGAACTCCGCTGCTCGTCCGCTCAGCAAGGTCGTCGTCGTCACCGTCACGCCCCTCGACTGGTCTCGATGGGGAGACAGTGCGCCAAGGCAGTCCTTGACCTCTGGGACCTGCCGGGCCCCGCTTGTCCATTGCAGTCGGCTGTTCCTCATGCGCCGGCCCGACCCGTCGCGACCCCCGCCCCACGAGGCACCCCATCCCTTCCTGTTCGTCTCCCCCTTTCCCTCCCTCTCTCTCGCTGCTGCCTGAATGCGTTTTCATTTTGCCTACGAACTTCATCCAGCGCGTGTGCAGCGCCGCTATCCCTTTGTTCGCTTAACCGGAAACGGTGCAGCGCAAGCTTGCAGCACGGGCCGGGCCGGGGG